CGCCCCCCCCCTCGCCTGCGCCCTCCCCCGCCTGAGGAGGTAGCAGCGTCGGCGGTCCCTCAGACTCTAGCTTGACCGCCACCTCCGTCTGCTCCTCCGCCAGCGCCGCCATCTTGCGGCTAAGCCACCTCGCGCCGTCAAGCGTGATTGCGTTTTCGCCACATGGAGGGCGGGGAGGAGCATTTCACGACAGCTCTGGTAGGCCATTTACGGCAGTAGGCGGAGCGAGAGAGAAGGATAAAGGAATGGGAGAGCGAGCAACTTTCAAAAATGAGTGGAAGGCAGGCAGGCAGGAAGTGGGATTTGGTTATCGCCTTATATTTACCTTGTAATAATTACCATTTACTACAGGCCCTAGTTTTTTAAGTTTCGCTATAGGGCGCATGCGCTCCCGGGGGGGGGCGGGGAGGGGTAAGAGAGATTGAGAGGGAAAGTGAGAAATCACCTCCCAAGAAGGATGGCCACGCTAATTTCTTCTCCATTCTTGTGGGGTTTTGGGGCACACATGTACACACAACCGGCGTGATTTTCAGGCCGCCAGGCGGGGGACTTGAAACACAGTCGGCCATGTGGAAGTCCAGCGCCTTCTACACCACACCATTTGTTGGCCCCTATTGTAGGCCCTCCTATAATCAGGCATTGTGATAGACGTTTTACATTATATGACGTTTAATTTGACAATCCAGTCACCTTATGGGTGACTCAGCTGAGACCCAGAGGATAAATAGCTCGCCAAAGTAACCCAAGAAGAAACTGTAAGTGAAAAGATTTGAAACGTGGTCTTTAACTCAAAAGCATATACTATTTGCCAGAGGAAGACTTCTAAGATACTGGTAGTTATTTTTGTTTTAAATCTGGATAGTGGTTTCTTGGCTTTCTTTCCTTGTTTCCTTCTTTCTTTTTCTTTCTTTCCTTTTTCCCCCCAGTGTTTATGTAAAAATCCGCCAGATGACAGGACCAGGAGATGTTGTAATGGTTACATCACTGGAGTCCAACATAGTCCATCACAGCCCTAGTCTCAGACCCAGAGGTTTAAAACTCACACGGGCCAGACCAGCAGGTGGCATGGTGGCATGATGGTTAAAGGCACTGGATTCCCACATGGCAAACCATGGTTCAAGTCCTAGACCTGGCAGCTTGCTCTCTCACTTTCTCTCTCTCTCTCTCTCTCTCTCTCTCTGTCTGTCTGATCAAACTGAAAAATAATAATAATAGTAATAAAAATAAAGTTAAATAAAATAGTTTTTAAAAAAACTCAACGGGGCACATGTGTGTGTGTCCAAGATCTGAGAGAAGAATGAGGAAAGGATTGCAGCATGGCCATCACCCCTGGGGGGTGATTTCTTGCTGTCTCTGTCTCCCCAACGAGCACACACATCCTATAGCAAAAATCTCTCTTAAAAAAATGAAAAGAAAATTAGCCGATTGGTGGGCAACTTCTATAGACTCAGGTGGCTGTGGCAGGGGGGGACCTCTTGTGTAACAGAATGAGACTCTTTCTTAAAAAAAAAAAAAAATTAAGAGAACCAGCAGTTAGCATAATGGCTATGTCACTGGGCTCCCACATAGTCGACTGCGGTTCACGTCCCGGACCCAGTGGCTTAAAAAACTCACGCCGGGCATGTGTGCGTGCGTGCCAAAGATCCCAAGAGGAGAATGGAGGAGAAGGGATTGCGGCGTGGCCATCCCCCCTGGGGAGTGATTTCTCGCTTTCTGTCTCTCTGTCTCTCTCTGTCTGTCTGGCGAGCGCACGTGCCCTATAGCGAAAACCTCTCCAAAAAAAAAAAAAGATTAAAAAAAAGAAAAAAAAATTAAGTTGTGAAGCTACATACTTAAATATGTGGACTTTACAGAATGTATGTCCTATTTCAATAAAAAGTTTTTAAATAACAGAATTTTGTGATTATGAAGTTTGTGTTATATAGTCTTGCTGTTTCCATTATTACAAATTAACCGAATTTTTTGGGTTTGTTGTTAATTTTTGGCATAGGGTACATATTCTCACCAGAGAGAGACAGAGAGAAAAAGAAGGAAAGTAAGAAAGCAACCCCATGGAGAATGTCATGCCAGTCCAATCCCTTCTTTATTTCTTCCTCTCTTGGGGATTTGGGGCACAACAAACATGCACAGGGCTTATTTCTTAATCCTTTGGGTCAGGAACTCAAACTGCAGTGGGCCATGTGCAATCCAGCCACCTACGTTTCTCAATCCTCTGGGTCAGGGACTCAAACTGCAGTGGGCCATGTGTGATCCAGCCACCTAACCACCACGCCATAGGTTGGGCCACAAATAAACTGAATTTTAGTTGTATGTTTAAAAACTATATATACCATTTTGCATTATGCTTCATAGGTTATGAAACCCTATTGAGGGCCAGCAGGCAACATAGCCAACTGAGCAGTTCAAGTCCTGGACCCAGCAGCTTGAAAATCACGCTGAACAGGACCAGCTGATGGTGTAATGGTTACATTGCTGGACTCCCACGTAGTCAACCACAGTTCAAATCCCAGGCTCGGCAGCTTCAAACTTATGCCAGGCATGTGTACATGTATGCCCAAGATCCTGAGAGGAGAATGGAGAAGAAAGGATTGTAACATTGCAGCCATTCGTCCCCAGGGATGATTTCTCGTTCTCCCTCTCTCTACAGCAAATGCAAGCATACTATAGCAAAAAAGAAAGAAAGAAACCCTGTTGCATATTTTATCTCATTCAAACCTCATTTGAAATCTATTGGATAGAGACCAGCAGTTGGCCTAGTGGCTATGTCACTGGACTCCCATGTAGTTGACTGCAGTTTGAGTCCCAGCCCGGTGGCTTAAACATGCCGGGCACGTCTGTGTGTGCCTAAGATCCCAAGAGGAGAATGGAGGAGAAGGGATTGCAATGTGGTCATCCCCCTGGGGGGGTGACTTCTCACTTTCTGTCTCTCTGTCTCTCTCTGTCTTTCTGGCAAGCGCACTCGCCCTACTCTTGGGGATTTGGGGCACAACAAACATGCACAGGGCTTATTTCTTAATCCTTTGGGTCAGGAACTCAAACTGCAGTGGGCCATGTGCAATCCAGCCACCTACGTTTCTCAATCCTCTGGGTCAGGGACTCAAACTGCAGTGGGCCATGTGTGATCCAGCCACCTAACCACCACGCCATAGGTTGGGCCACAAATAAACTGAATTTTAGTTGTATGTTTAAAAACTATATATACCATTTTGCATTATGCTTCATAGGTTATGAAACCCTATTGAGGGCCAGCAGGCAACATAGCCAACTGAGCAGTTCAAGTCCTGGACCCAGCAGCTTGAAAATCACGCTGAACAGGACCAGCTGATGGTGTAATGGTTACATTGCTGGACTCCCACGTAGTCAACCACAGTTCAAATCCCAGGCTCGGCAGCTTCAAACTTATGCCAGGCATGTGTACATGTATGCCCAAGATCCTGAGAGGAGAATGGAGAAGAAAGGATTGTAACATTGCAGCCATTCGTCCCCAGGGATGATTTCTCGTTCTCCCTCTCTCTACAGCAAATGCAAGCATACTATAGCAAAAAAGAAAGAAAGAAACCCTGTTGCATATTTTATCTCATTCAAACCTCATTTGAAATCTATTGGATAGAGACCAGCAGTTGGCCTAGTGGCTATGTCACTGGACTCCCATGTAGTTGACTGCAGTTTGAGTCCCAGCCCGGTGGCTTAAACATGCCGGGCACGTCTGTGTGTGCCTAAGATCCCAAGAGGAGAATGGAGGAGAAGGGATTGCAATGTGGTCATCCCCCTGGGGGGGTGACTTCTCACTTTCTGTCTCTCTGTCTCTCTCTGTCTTTCTGGCAAGCGCACTCGCCCTATAGCAAAAAAACTCTCCAAAAAAAAGAGAAATCTATTGGATAGATACAGATGAGAAAAATTAGCCTGGATGATTGGCAAAGTCTTAACTCAGTTGTTCAGGTTATTGGTTTAGAAGTCACCATCTTTGACCCTGCCTACTGGCAGAATGACCTGGAGCCAGCTACTTAATTCACTCTATACTAGTTGCCCAATTTCTAAAATAAAGATTATATAACTGAGTGTCCTTGATCAGAAACACTTGGGACCACAAGTGTTTCAGATTTTAGATTTTTCTAAATTTTGGAGTATTTGCTTATACATAATGAGATATCTTGGGGAAAGGACTTAAGTCTAAAGACGGAATTTGTGTATATGTTTCATATACACCTTACACACGTAGCCTGAAGGTAATTTCATACAGTACTTTTGTAATGTGGCATTTTGACTGTGACTTATCAAGCGAAATCAGATGTGGGATTTTCCTCCTGTGACATCATGTCAGCGCTCATGAAATTCCAGAATTTTTGGGTTAGTGTTAGTTAACCTGTAGTATCTACCTCATACTGTTACTTTGATGATTAAATGAGATCATTTACATGTGACACTTAGCACATAATAAATAGGCACTAAATGATTTTCTCATAAATGTTTAATCAAGAACGTACAAACTTCTTGTTGTTGTTGCCGCCGTAAGAACATGTGTGCTTGCCAGAGAGAGACAGAGCACGTGTACACATACATCTGGCATGATTTACAAGCTGCCGGGTCCAGGGCTCAAACCACAATCACCCATGTGAGAGTCCAGCACTTAACCACCACCACCCCTGCTGGTCTCAAGAAAATATAATCTCGGGAACCAGCAGTTAGCGTAATGGCTATGTCGCTGGACTCCCATGGAGTCGACCGTGGTTCGCCTCCCGGACACGGTGGCTTAAAACTCACACCGGGCGCATGTGCATGCGTGCCTAAGATCCCAAGAGGAGAATGGAGGAGAAGGGATTGCGGCGTGACCATCCCCTCTGGGGGTGATTTCTCGCTTTCTGTCTCTATGTCTCTCTCTGTCTGGCAAGCACACACGCCCTAGAGCGAAAACATCTCAAAAAAAAGAAAAGTTAAAAAAAAAGAAAAAAGAAAATGTAATCTCGATACCACATTCAGGATGATCTCAAGACTGAAATATAAAGCTATTCTAACTGAATGTTTCAAGTAAAAACAGGAGGGACCAGCCCTGCAGCATAGTGGCTAAGGGAGCCAGATGCCACAAAGCTGACTGTGGTTCAAGTCCCAACCTTGACAACTGGGGAAAGACCTAGCACATATGCCTGCATGCCCCAAATCATGACGGGATGGAGAAATGGAGGAGCAGGGGTTGCAGTGTGACTGCACCTCAGTGCTTTCGTCCTCCAGCAATTTAAATTAAGAATAGGAAATGTGGTGTTTAAGGGGAGAAAAGAAGAACAACAATTGGTTAGCATTTACTCAGCGCTGGCCAAGAGAGAAATCCTGAATCCAGTGGCATACTCTTAAGAGATAGGGAGAATTCATCCTTTTCCTCAGGATCAT